TTTTTTTTTGGGGGGGGGGGGGGCTAGGAACAAGAACAAGGCAGGCATCTACCAGAAAACATTTATCACAAAGTTAATTCGGTAGAAAATTTCTCTTACAGCACGTAGAAGTGACCGCCTATCCCGTTCTCGAGCATTCTTGATGGCCTGTAACCAACAACAAAACCATTAGCTTCATAGGTTGACAAATAACCCGCTGACCTTACAGCTGACATAAAAGCCAAAGGATAAGGCTACGAAAATTGAAAACAGACCTCCTCAAGAGCCTTTTTCTCAGCCTCCACTTCTGAAACATCTCTACAAGAAACCAATAATAACCATATGAGTCTTCCACAAACAGTGTTCATTTAAATTGAAGCAAAACCATATTAAACGCGCAGAACAGAGATTCAACAAATTGGGAAGGGAATGGGGAAAAGGAGGAATCTTTAAACCTTCCAACCACTTGACCAACACGACATGAGCACTTAGCACATACATTATGCTCCTTTGCACAGCCTGTTGATTTTTCAAATAAATGCAAAAACATCAAACCAAACACTTGATAGATTTCATAACGCAATATAGGATTTTCATTATGCTGTAACAAATATGCAAAAAACAAAACAAATGAAACAGAAATGAAAACTAACCAGTGCAGAGATTGTGGTAAGCTTGACGCACGTTTCTTTTCGAACACTTCTGACTATCATAATTTTAAAATAAACAAAGGAATTTAAGTCAGTGGCTTTGGAGTACCATGGTTCACTAATTTCAATGAACATAGTATAAATACATACTATAGAAATTTTAACCAGTTATATATGGGTTTTGCTAAGCTAGTACATGTGTCCAATTTCATCTTCTATAATTTAACAACCTAAATATTGGCATTTTTTTCAAAAAACAAAAAGAAATTTTTTTGAACAAGGAGAGAAGTAGAAGGTGTACCACTTAGCAGGTTCAGTAAGGGGTTTGTATTTTCCATATTTGCGCTTCCATTCAATTTGATCTTTACAACGAAGGCATACTCCTGTTATGTCTGAGAAAGGCCTAAACTTTCCACCCACTTCCTGCAAAATAAAAGGCAAAACCGATCAATTGTTGAGACCCAATTCAAATGTTTGATAGGCGGAGAGTAAAAGGTGAGCGTACGGTTTCATTGATTTTGACGCCGGCGTTAGGTTTCCAGGCGACTTTGTTCTGGTGCTTCGGCGGCCCTTTCCTTACGCTGCTCATCTTTTTTTTTCTTCTAAAACGTTACCTCACTTCAATGTATTGATGGAGTAGAACTACTATTGGGCTGACCAGTAATACGACGGGGAAGTGCACATATAGCCACTGATTAGATATGTTTTTACTTTTTAATCATTATTTTAAATATATTTACTCTTTAGTCAATATTTAATAAATTTTTATTCGCCAAACAAAAATACCCTTGTGCTAGACATAGGTGTTGTGTAAATATTAAGTACATGGTATCCTTAACTTCATGAATGTTGTGTAAATATTTAGGACAAAGTGTCATGTATTTGCACCTTCTGCTGCTAAACTTTAGGACATCATGTCATTAACTTCATATGTGCAGCGTAAATGTTAAGGACATGGTGTCCTTAACTTCATGTGTGCAATGTTAATGTTAAGGACATAATATCATTAACTTGTATTTGCAACTTCTGTTGTTAAATTTTAGGACATCATGTCCTTAACTTCATATGTGCAGTGTAAATGTTAAGGACGTGGTGTCCTTAACTTCATATGTGCAGTGTAAATGTTAAGGACGTGGTGTCCTTAACTTCATATGTGCAGTGTAAATGTTAAGGACGTGGTGTCCTTAACTTCATATGTGCAGTGTAAATGTTAAGGACGTGGTGTCCTTAACTTCATATGTGCAGTGTAAATGTTAAGGACGTGGTGTCCTTAACTTCATATGTGCAGTGTAAATGTTAAGGACGTGGTGTCCTTAACTTCATATGTGCAGTGTAAATGTTAAGGACGTGGTGTCCTTAACTTCATATGTGCAGTGTAAATGTTAAGGACGTGGTGTCCTTAACTTCATATGTGCAGTGTAAATGTTAAGGACGTGGTGTCCTTAACTTCATATGTGCAGTGTAAATGTTAAGGACGTGGTGTCCTTAACTTCATATGTGCAGTGTAAATGTTAAGGACGTGGTGTCCTTAACTTCATATGTGCAGTGTAAATGTTAAGGACGTGGTGTCCTTAACTTCATATGTGCAGTGTAAATGTTAAGGACGTGGTGTCCTTAACTTCATATGTGCAGTGTAAATGTTAAGGACGTGGTGTCCTTAACTTCATATGTGCAGTGTAAATGTTAAGGACGTGGTGTCCTTAACTTCATATGTGCAGTGTAAATGTTAAGGACGTGGTGTCCTTAACTTCATATGTGCAGTGTAAATGTTAAGGACGTGGTGTCCTTAACTTCATATGTGCAGTGTAAATGTTAAGGACGTGGTGTCCTTAACTTCATATGTGCAGTGTAAATGTTAAGGACATAATATCATTAACTTGTATTTGCAACTTCTGTTGTTAAACTTTAGGACATGATGTCCTTAACTTCATATGTGCATTGTAAATGTTAAGGACATGGTGTCCTTAGCTTCATGTGTGCAATGTAAATGTTAAGGACATAATGTCCTTAATATTTGCACCTTCTGCTGATAAACTTTAGGACATCATGTCCTTAACTTCATATGTGCAGTGTAAATGTTAAGGACATGGTGTCCTTAACTTCATGTGTGTAATATAAATGTTAATGACATAATATCATTAACTTGTATTTGCAACTTCTGTTATTAAACTTTAGGACATGATGTCCTTAACTTCATATGTGCATTGTAAATGTTAAGGACGTGGTCTCCTTAGCTTCATGTGTGCAATGTAAATGTTAAGGACATAATGTCCTTAATATTTGCACCTTCTGCTGATAAACTTTAGGACATCATGTCCTTAACTTCATATGTGCAGTGTAAATGTTAAGGACATGGTGTCCTTAACTTCATGTGTGTAATATAAATGTTAATGACATAATATCATTAACTTGTATTTGCAACTTCTGTTATTAAACTTTAGGACATGATGTCCTTAACTTCATATGTGCATTGTAAATGTTAAGGACGTGGTCTCCTTAGCTTCATGTGTGCAATGTAAATGTTAAGGACATGGTGTCCTTAACTTCATGTGTGTAATATAAATGTTAATGACATAATATCATTAACTTGTATTTGCAACTTCTGTTATTAAACTTTAGGACATGATGTCCTTAACTTCATATGTGCATTGTAAATGTTAAGGACGTGGTGTCCTTAGCTTCATGTGTGCAATGTAAATGTTAAGGACATAATGTCCTTAATATTTTACACATTACTCATGAAGTTAAGGACACCATGTCCTTAATATTTACACATCACTCATGAAAAAAGGGTAAAAAAAGACTTTTCGTATTAATTTTAATAGAGTAGTAGCTATTTTTGCTCAACATTAAAAATACTGGCTAAAAAGTAAATACCACTTAAAAAAGTAGCTATACCACGCCATTTCTACTAATATGACATTATTTATTGTTTTGGGCTAATTTTGAATGTAGCCCATCGACTTGGGTAATACAATCGGCCCAAATACAGCAAAAACGCAACATTTCTTCGTCCTATACTCTCAGAAACTAGGATATTTCTGAAACTTTTTACTTAGCTATGCTACTTTTAAAACTTATTTACTCTCACTATTGAAGTTTTAACTTAATTATAAGTTAATATATAAACTAATATTAAATGAGTATCCCTTAATATTATGAATTTAGTAGAGAATATCAGTTTAAATTTCTCTTTCTCCCTCCATCTCTCTTATTTCCTCAACTTCAATCTTCTCTACTTCTCTCTCTTTTCTCATCTCCTTTCTTTTTTTCTTCAGGAAATTCATCAATGAATTTTAATTGTTTTACTAAGGAGATTTAACTTAGCAATTTTCTTCATGTTCCATAGTTGGTATTCAAATTAAAATTTATCAACCAATAAATTTTGAAAGTGTTTGACTCTCCATCATTGACAGCCATTAAAAAAGTTTTGAAGTTTCGAATTTAAAAAAAAAATTGTTTGGATTGGGGTTGTTGCAAACGGTTGAGAATATTCTTTGAGGTTTATATCTCAATTTTGAGGATGTTTGGTAAAGATTAAAGTTGATTTTGGTTGGATTTCAAATAATAATAACACATGACATACAATATACATACAAAATCGTATTGGGGTTGTATTACAGTTGTATGAAATTTGTATGCAAATTTTATTTAAGTTGTATTTTATTGCAGTTGTATTTTTTTTATTTGAATGTTGTATGAAAGTTGAAACGAAATTGTATACTGTATGAAATTTATATTTAAGTTATAAATACTCTCTTTTTATATAAAGTTATTGATATGTATCAAAATTGTATGAAAATTATATTTCAGTTGTATTCTGTTATAGTTGTATTATTTTTGTATGAATGTTATATGAAAGTTATATTAAACTTGTCCTACCAGGTTGTGCCATTGTCTGGATTATTCCCCAATTTCGCCATAGATATTCAGAAATAAAAACTTCTCTCTTTTGGTAACTTAAATATATCCTCAAGGAGTGATTTCACATGCAAATCTGGACTAAAGACGAGGCTTTTGTTTTCTCATATGAAATCAAAGTGTATTAATGACATTCATAAATGAGCTTATCAAGAAAATTTAATATGAAGGTGGATTCTCTTTTAATGTTCCTATATGTTAAGACAAAATTCTAAAATTTAATCTCAATATCAGGTGTGAAAAAAGGGAAGGAGGCGATAGTAGAAGAAGGAGAGAGGAGAGGGAAGAAAAAAGGAAGAAGGGTGTAAATGAATATCTTAATTTAAGCCACTAATTATAACTTGGGAGATTTTTAAGGGGAATGTATATAATTTGAAAAAAAATTACTTAGCTCTAGTAAATAAGAAACTTTAGACAATCCGGGTGTCACGACCCAAAATTCGACATGTCATGATGACGCCTATCATGGTACTAAGCAAGCCGGCGTCTCACACATACCAACATTTTAAAATCCCAAATATACGAAAATAGGTTTAAATAAGTAAGAATTTCATAAAAACTAGATATAAACATCGTAACTCAGTACAAAATTCTCCCAAAAGATCCAGGTGTCACGGAGTACATGAGTATCTACATAACAACACGGTATAATCAATGGAACATTGTCTAGGAAAGTAGAACAGTATAAACAAGACTAAAAGATAAAGGAGGAGAGTCAAGGTCTGCGGACGCCAAGGCAGCTACCTCGATCATCTCCGAATTGATGAAATGCCAGGAATCAGCAACCGCCGCACCCGAAAATACCTGGATCTACACACGAAGTGCAAGGTGTAGCGTGAGTACAACAAACTCAATAAGTAACAAGTCTAACCTATGGTCTGAAAGCAGTGATGAGCTGAAACAATACAGTAAAGATACAGAGTTTAACAATACAGAAAAGTAGGCATGCTTCTAGGTTCAACAGTTAAGTTTAGCACAGATAAAATATGCCAAGTGTGACTGATAAGAAGAGTATGACGTCTCTATAGCTACATGCCAATGTGAATACCGTATGTGATGCAACACAGTGAAACCCCAAGTACTCACACTCTCAGGGCACTCAATTTGTCCGTCTTAATTCTCGCTCGGCACGCTTAATCACTCAGCACTGTATGATACCTACTGCGGTGTGTAACCCGATCCACATATATCCATAAGGTATGTTGCGGCGCACAACCCGATCCATACTTGTTGCAGCGTGCAACCCGATCCACACATATATAGCCATAAGGCTTGTTGCGACATGCAACCCGATCCACACACATATAGCCATAAGGCTTGTTGCGACGTGCAACCCGATCCACACACATATAGCCATAAGGCTTGTTGCGACGTGCAACCCGATCCACATATATATAGATATCACACACAGCATGGCTCTCGGGCCCCAACTCAGTCACCAATCTCTCCAGGCTCTCAACGCTCATGCTAAGCAGCCCTAATTAATGATACGAGATGTGACAATATACGATAACAAAGACTAAGATATGACACGTAATGATGAATCTGACTGAGTACACAACTGCAATTAAATAGATAACTCAACAACAAAGAACGACCACTGTGGATCCCAATAGTACCAGCATATAGCCTAAACATGATTTCTAGCATGAATCACAATTCAAGCGCTCTAACACAGAGAGTACAACAAAAATGTTTAGATAAAATAGCTACGCAGTTCC